AATTTTGATTTGCATCTCCCTGATGATTGCTGATGTTAAGCACTTTTTCATATACCTGTTGGCCATTTGTATGTCTTTTCTGGAGAAATCTCTTTTCAGTTCCTTTGCCCATTTTAATCAGGTTACTTACATTTTGCTATTGAGTTGTAGGAGTTCTTTATTTTGCATATTAACCCTTTATTAGAAGCATGGTTTGCAAATATTTTCTCCCATTCCATAAGTTACTTATTCATTTGTTAATTGCTTCCTTTGCCATGAAGAAGATTTTTTTAGTTTGATGTCATCCCACTTTGGTTTTGCTTTTGTTGCCTGTGTTTTGGTGTCATACCCAAAAATCATTGCCAAGATCAATGTCAAGGAGTTTACCCATTATGTTTTTTTCTAGGAGTTTTATGGTTTCAGGTCTTACGTTTAGGTCTTTAATCTATTTTGAGTTGATTTTTGTGTATGGTGTAAGACAAGGGTCCAATTTCATTCTTTTGCATGTAGATATCCAGTTTTCCCAGCACCATTTATTAAAGAGACTATTCTTTCCCCATTGTGTATATTCTTGGCAGCCTTGTTAAAAATCAGTTGACCACATATTATGGGTTTATTTCTCACTTTCTTCTCTTCCATTGGTGTATAGGTCTATTTTTAATGCTAATATCATACTGTTTGATTAGTGTAACCTTGTAAGATATTTTGAAGTCAGGAAAGTGTGATGCCTCCCACTTTGTTCTTGCTCAAAATTGCTTTGGCTATTTGGGATTTTCTGTTGTTCCATATGAATTTTAGGATTGTTTTCTATATTCCTGTAAAAAAAACATGCCATTGGAATTTTGATAGGGATTGTATTGAACCTGTAGATTGTTTTGGGTAGTATAGACATTTAAAAATAATAATTCTAAATATGAGATGTCTTTCCATATATTTGTGTTTAATTTCTTTCATTAGTATTTTATAGTTATAGTGTACAAGTCTTTCATCTCCTTTGGTGGAGTCTATTTCTACGTATTTTATTCTTTTTGATGCTACTCTAAATTAGATTGCTTTCTTAATTTCTTTTTTGGGTTATTGTTATTGTATAGAGTATTTTTCTAATTTAAGGATGCTCAGGGGGTGCCCAGGTGGCTCAGTCGGTTAAGAGTCTGCCTTTGGCTCAGGTCATGATCCCAGGCGTCTGGGCTCCCTGCTAAGCACAAGAGTGCTTCTCCCTCTGCCTCTGCCCCTGCCCCACTCCCCCTCACTTGTGCTCTCTCGCTCTCTGTCACAAATAAATAAAAAAAAATAAATAAAGATGCTTAGAAGGTTAATACAATATTTTATAGTATTTTAATAACTAAAGTGTTTTTGGAAAAAGTGTGAGGTTTTTATATATGTGAATTTAAATTGACTAAGTCTCTTGATGAAGCATTTAAAGAAAAATATGCTTTGTTTAATGTTGTAAAATCCTGTCTTTTCCACCATTTTGTAATCTCCATTTTGGCAAACCTTTGTTTTTAGCTTTATATGGAGTTGTTTTGAATTAATTGTTTCTAAACGTCTTATTATCTTCATTCTGGTGGTCTTGTCTTATATTTCTTTTTCTTTTTTCCTCTCTTCTTTGTCCCTTCCTTGGTTACTTTATTTTAGTTACTTTATTTACTAAGCTGTTTGTCTTTTACTTTTTATTTCCTGAGTTCAGTCAATTCTTTTTGCATTTCTTCTTGATACATTATTTGGTCAGTTTCTTTTTAATTTTGAATTTCTGATTTAAAGCAGTTTCTACTTTTTCAGAGGTTTGTTTAGGGATATTGGCATCAATTTGTAGTGTTGTGTTACAGTTTTAATTTTTTTGTTTGTTTGTTTTAGAGACTGAAGGGCAGAGATTTGTATCAGCTGAGACATTTTGATTCTCCTTTTCTATTTCATTTTTTATTAGGTTTTTTCTTTTAATTCCAGTATTGTTAAGATGGTGGTCTTGTATTTCTTAATGCTATTCTGTGATTCTAATGTCACTGCTAAATCCATGCACTTCATTTAGATTTCTCCAAGGTAAAGACAATTTTTAATGTTCTTCTAGATTACATTTTAAACATGCCCATTGTTATGAGAATAGGCCATCTTCACTTGAAAATAAAGTCTCAAGCAAAATCAATAGCATTTATATATATGGCATATTTTTTTTCAAGGTAGGCCATTTTAATTATGTAAATAAAATGGCCCTCTTTGAAGATTATTACTTGATTTATAATCTATAAGATTTTGGTCTTATGAATTAGCCTCCCCTGCTTCTGCATTTGCTCACAACTAGTGATATAGCGTAAATGAGGCAAGTGCACATAATGGCCCCTCAGAAAGTAATACCAACCACAATAGTACCCACAGTTTTCCAGAAAAATTAGCACCTTTTGTTTATGAAGCAGAGTAGTCAGTAAATATTTCTGAACCTTGGGTGCAATTAAACATGTTTGCTTAGCCTTCTAAAGACTACATAGTTTGGTTCTCTTTGAATTTCTAAATCAAGGTGACATGGACTTTGGAGTCCATCATCCTTGGGTTAGAATTGCACATCTGCTATCTGCAAGTAAATTCTCTAAGCCCTATCATTCTTATCTACAAGAGGTACATATTAAAATTCATCACTTGGGGATGTTGTAAGGATTAACTGATACAGTTTTGTGATTTAGGATTTGCCAAGATTAGACATGCTTGCCCTCTGAATGTATCAGTTAAGATGTGTTTGGCTGTAAGAGAACACCAGAGAAGTCGTTGCTCAAACAAGTATTTTTTTTCCCTCCCCCTTTTTCCTGCTACCAAGAAAATGCAGAGCTGTGCAATCCAGGATGATGCCATTGGGGGATCTTACTCCTTCTCTCTTGCTGTCATCCTCAGGGTGTGGCTCTTACTCTTACAGGCACAAGGTAGCTGCTGCATCCCCAAACATCATGTTTGTCGATGCCTTATGAAGTTTGCCTTTTATCTCAGGACAGCGTTCTTCCCCAAGAACTTTTGTCTACATGTCATTGGCCTGAACTGGGTCACCCCTACTTATAAGAGAGTCTGGGGGAATCAAAGGATTTTAGTTGGGCAGATTGTTACCCTGAGCAAAATAGAGATTCTTTTAGTAACAAAGAGAGGGGATGGCTACTGGACAGGCAACCAATGTGCCTTTTTCACTTTGTGACTTTAGTTCTTTTAATCAAAATGAGGTAGAAATCCAAGGACACCAAAATTCAGTGACGGAGCCCAGCATTCTCCTCTCTGTCCCACACATATCTCACCTAATCCCCATCAGGTGATATGAACACACATTACCAAAATATAACCCACACCAACCTCAAGCATTAGTCTGAAGGTGGGCCCCCAAACTGGCATTGCTGCTTTGGTGATTGGATGATGATGACCATGGAAGGGTTTTCCATGGCCTCTTGCTTGAGTCTTAGCAGTCATGGGTCACCCCATGTCACCCCAAGTGACAGTGATCTGATTCTTTTCATAACCTTTCTTGCACCAGAGATTGGGGTCTTTGGAAAAATATACTTTGAATCCACCCTATTTTTATTCTCTTTGACTTTTTGGAGAGACAAAAAGAATACTTGCTATATAAAGAAGGAAGTCACCATTATTGATACCTTCTGTTCATATAAAAAGGAAAAAAATCATTACATGGTAAATACAAGGGGGTTTTCGGGAAGCGGGAACTTCGCTGAAGATACACCATAATGCCAAGTAAAGCACCTAGTATCATGTGTGGTGCATGGTGAATATTGCAGCTGTTGGACTTAATACCTACAAAAACTTTATCATAAGCAAGGATTGTTGCTATGTTTCCAGTGCCTAGACTTAAACTTCCTGGAATTTAAAATGTTCTTTGTAGAGGTTGCTTAACTCATGAGAAAATATGACTTCTGAGTCTTGATTTATTGCCTTCCAGTGTCTATGGTAAACTGTTTATAACCAAGCTGATATATGGTACCCATTATTTACATAGATGTAAATGCTGCCCCACAATTACTGCTTTAATAAATTAATTTACTGATCAATTACTAATCATTTTTTATAGCTTTGCCAACTCTCACCTGATAGGTTTGTTTACTTGATTCCTTCTCTTTCCTTCCCTTTTTATTGGCCATATTTCTATTTGCAACCCTTATGTATATTACTCAATATTCTAAGTACTTTTCAAGCAAATCCAAAGGCAATTTTTTCCAACCTATGTAAAGATGGTATAATAATTTTTAACTGCATCATGCATAACCTTTGTAAATTCTTTAGGGTTGAGACCAAGTTTCATACTAGTCTCTCTGCATGGCCCTATCACAGGGGTGAAAGGGTGGCAGACACCGATGTGTACATGGTAATTGATTAGTTCTGACTTTATGGCCTATTCCTATAATAGGAAATGCTGCCTTAGAATTGGTCCCATGATTGGTGCTGTTGGGAAGATGAAGGTCTCCAACAGGAGGTTTTTACCCAAACATTTTTAAAGGACGCTGTAAATTAGAATTGACTGCAAGTGGCCAGTAGCCACTTTTGGGAACAAGATGGCCCAGGCATAAAAAAACTTAGTGACAAACATTCCACATACCAAATGCAGTCAGAGCTTGGGGGGAATTAAGGGTATGACAGGTTCTGCGCTTGAAAATAAATGGGTTTGTTAAATATGAGTACCAGGTGGGCACTGAATTTTGAGTTATTTGTACCACTTTGACCCTTATGTATAGAACAGCGTAGAATAGGCTGGCTGCTGAGCAGAGCCTGCACCCGGGCAGAAGAGACTTCTTTGCATAAGTACCAGAAAATAAAGACTGATGAGAGTCTTGAGCTCTGTTATAGTTTTGTACATGAAAGGGAAAATAAAATTGTTGAAGTCGTAGGCCTGGGGCCAAAAATGCCAACAGATATCTACCTAGCTGGGGCTATAAAAATGGTATGCAGTCCCGAGAAATGTCTAAATGTTTCAAAAATAGCCCGTTAACTTTTAAAATGGCAGTTCACGTTCCTATTTCACACGCTGCCATCTTTATTCTTTCTAGTGTCCGAACACTTCCTGTCCTCCTATGACATTGACTGCAGTTTGGAAACCAAGAAGGAAGTGGTCCAGTGCATGGGTTCCTTCCAGGATGGGGTGGCTGAGAAGTGTGTTGACTATTTCCAGAGATTCCGACGCTCTACTCACGTGACTCCCAAGTCCTACCTCTCCTTTATTCAGGGCTATAAGTGCACGTACAGAGAAAAACATGTGGAAGTGCAAACTCTAGCCAGTAGGTAAGCGTCAAGTGTGAAGTTCAGATATAACGTTATTTTAAAACGGTGGTTCTTGACTGGGGGCACATTTGTTTCCTAGTGAGCATTTTGCAAGACTAGAAGCATTTTTTTTTTGTTACAACTTGGGTGGTAGGGGCTGGGAAGGGGTGCTACTGGTGTCAGATGAGGGGAGGTCAGGGATGCTGCTGAACATCCTACAGTGCACAGGACAGCCCTCCACAGCAAAGAATCATCCAACCCCAAATGCCAATAGTGCTGAGGCCAAGACACCCCCCTCTCAAGCCTATTCAAAGGATTATTCCATGATTGTTGGAGCTTTATTCTTGCCCAGTAGAATAAAATATTGCCAAGTGTTTATGTGGCCTACCACTTGTTATAATACCAAATGTTATAATGGTAGAAATAATTCCTGTCTCCCTCTCTTGTCCTTCTCTTCCCACCCTTTCTGGGTGTCTAGGATAGGAGAGTCTGGGTGATGCTGATGTTCACTGCATGGTGAATACCCTGCTTCAACCTGTTCCAGGTTTCACTGCTCTGCCTGCTTTTTTCTGATCATTTCTAGCTTCTGCCTACATAGAGCCAGAACCAGCAGGGCTGTTCCATAAGGGACCCTGGGTGGGAGATTGGACTGACTGATTCTGAGAGCTCTGGTCTTTGAGGTCTCATTATCTCAGGTCCAGGGAGTGAGTGGTCCCTTCACAGGGTTGTTCTGATGACTTCAGATTTGTTTCTTTCCTTGATCCCAAACCTTTCTTCTTTTAATTTAATTAGTCTTTTTTTTTTTTAAACAGAAATTATTTATTTTTCTTCTTCTGAGTTAGGACTTCAAGCATTTGAAGTCTATTGTCATTTAATTAAACTTCATTAAGCATGTATTCTGCATGATACAGCTTCTAGACCCATCATCATTCTTCATGTTGTGCAGGGCTATAATGAGTTCATGCTCCCACATGCAGTCTATGAAAAACATACACCCGTGTTCAGTCTGGTATCAACCCTGGGTGCATATTCTTTTTGTCAAGCCCTCTTGGATGTGCTATTTGCTCATACACTCATTCTTCAAATATGACCACTACTATCCAGATTAATGGATCAGTGCTTGGAAAATGTGGCCAAATACCACACCTTTTAACATGGCTTGCTTGGATGTTCAATCCTAGAATGAATACTGGATTGGAGAAGCTAAAAGAAGCCTCAGAGTCCGTTGCAGCCCTGAGCAAAGAACTGGAAGCGAAAGAAAAGGAGCTCCAAGTGGCCAACGATAAAGCCGACATGGTGTGTGGGCACTCATGCATGGACTAGTGGTGTTTTACGTTCCTGGTAATAAATGTTAATGATCTATGCGTCTTCACTACACTGTAACCATGAAAGGATACATTATTTCCAATAGAATGTAGTACTCTTAATTTTCCTGTGAAATACCCTAGGAGTGGACACAGTCAACAGATCAAGGGAAAATGTGCATTTTCAGCTTGACAGCGTATGTTTGACGAGGTGTTTTTTTGTTTTATATTGAATTAGGTCTTAAAAGAAGTGACAATGAAAGCACAGGCCGCCGAGAAGGTCAAAGCTGAGGTACAGAAGGTGAAGGACAAAGCCCAAGCCATCGTGGACGGCATCTCCAAAGATAAAGCCATTGCCGAAGAGAAACTGGAAGCAGCAAAACCAGCTTTAGAAGAAGCAGAAGCAGCCCTGAAGGTAAATCTGTGCAATGTGGCAGATGTCATGCTTAGTGCCTAGGACGATGGGCAAGGATGAAGAAAAGATGAGTAACAGCAAGGAAATGCTCTACTCCTTCAGAGCAAAGGGCTCCTCACTGGAAAAATCTCAAGTAATATTTTCTGCAGGGACATGTTATTAGCTCTTCAGAGATTTTGCACTTGCTGCTTCCCATTTCATTTTCTTCCCTCACGAATGATGGGCAGTGTTGTATGTTGATGGTCAGGAGTCCTGGGTTCTCGTTCCCACTCTGTCACCAGCAAGCCTACATGACATCGGGAATGCCACATAAAATTTCTAAGATAACATTTCCCTACTCATTTATTGAGGACACCGGAGCAGGTCTGTAAGATACAAGGTGCTCGGAGTTTATCTATGAATTGTCCAAATACAGAACTGCTGATCTGATGGAGCTCGTGAATGGCGGGTTTTGAGCGGCCTCTGACAATTATTCAATGCAGTTGTGTGGCAAGAATGGAAGGTTGGATTGTGAGAAAATATGTTGAGTTTAGTGCAATGGGCCACACCTTAAAGGGCTGGTCGAGTGTTGAAGACTCAATGTAAGATTTCTTTGGACTCAGTTTAAGACTGCTTTTACTTCACTCTTAATCCTCTACGGCCCTATGTTTTTTATTATTCCTGGCCTAGGGAACAGCTGGAGAAATGAAACCCTGCTGATCTGTCCACAGCTAATTCAGTTTCCAGAACCTCAACTGAGCATGCCTCATTACTTGATAATGCAATTTCCTTTCTTTCTTTCTTTCTTTCTTTCTTTCTTTCTTTCTTTCTTTCTTTCTTTCTTTCTTTCTTTCTTTCTTTCTTTCTTTCTTTCTTTTTTTTTTTTTTAAAGATTTTATTTATTTGACAGAGAGAGACACAGCCAGAGAGAGAAACAAGCAGGGGGAATGGGGGAGGGAGAATCAGGCTTCCCGCTGAGCAGGGAGCCCAATGCGGGCTGGACCCTGGGATCATGACCTGAGCCGAAGACAGACAGACGCTTAATGACTGAGCCACCCAGGCGACCCTTGATAATGCAATTTTCTTTAACCCCTTCCTGATCTCACTGCCTGAAACACTTCTCAATCTTTCTGATCCAAGTTGAGTCTTTAAGTTTCCTGAGCAATATGCAAATATGAACTTCTACTCTTTTTTTTTTTTTAAAGATTTTATTTATTTATTTGACAGAGAGAGACACAGTGAGAGAGGGAACACAAGCAGGGGGAGTGGGAGAGGGAGAAGCAGGCTCCCTGCAGAGCAGGGAGCCCGATGCGGGACTCGATCCCAGGACCCTGGGATCATGACCCGAGCCGAAGGCAGTCGCTTAACCAACTGAGCCACCCAGGCGCCCGAACTTCTACTCTTTTGAGACAACAAAGAGATTGCCTTCTGGATCTCTCCAACTTTCCACACTACTCTTACTGGGATACGTCTTTACTTATTGTTCCTCTGTTCCTTCTTGCACTGACTAAACTGTGCTTCTTCATCCCCGAAGCTCTGCTGGATCTTCAGTCTCTCAGGTTGGTGGGCTCCTCATCTCCCCCTGCCCCTTTTTTTAAAACCAACTTATTGGCATATGATTGACATGTAAAAAGCTGAACGTGTATAATGTATACACCTTGGAGAGTTTGGGAATAAGTGTATACCTGTGAAACTATCCCCACCTTCAAATCCATTGACCTGTCCATTACCTCCCAAAGCTTCCCCCTGCTCCCTTTAATATTATTGTTGTTGTTGTTTTATGTGCTAAAAACATTTAACGTAATATCTAAAATCTACCCTCTTGACAAATTTGAAGTATATAATACAGTATTAAATAGACCAGAATTTATTTATTTTGCATAACTGAGAATTTTGTACCCTTTGACCATCAGCTCCCCATTTCCTCCTCCTGCTAGGCCCTGACAATTGCCATTCTACTCTCTGCTTCTATGAATCTTGACTGTTTTAGATTCCATATAAATGGAATGGAATTTGTTTTTCTGTATTTAGTTTATTTGACTGTTTTAGATTCCATATAAATGGAATGGAATTTGTTTTTCTGTATTTAGTTTATTTTACTTGGCAAAATGGCCCCTAGGTCCATCCTTGTTGTCTCAAATGGCAGGGTTTCCTTTTTTTTTTTTTTTTTTAAGACTGAATAATATTCCATTGTACACAGGCAGTCACACACACACACACACACACACGCATGGATGCACACACACATGCATACTGTATATATATATCTCTCACATTTCTTTATCCACTCATCCATCGGTGGATACTTAGGTTGCCTCTATATTTTGGCTATTGTAAATAATGCTGCAGTGAACATGGGAGTGCAGATACCTCCTCAAGATTCTGACCCCCACTCACCCTCCTTTTGGGGGCATCTTGGCTTTAGACTGAGAGTCTCTGATCAGCAGAGAGAATATATTGATAGTGTAAAGAAACTTCCAAACCCAATGGCATCATAGAAACAGGGCATATGGCATCTTAGATCATGCTTAAAGGTATACATTTTCCCAGGATTTAAAAGACTTGTCATCCTTTTGATATTATAAAATATTTTCCTTTATCCTCCTAATTTCATGTTCTCTACCACTGAGATATTCTGCATTATATAATTAATTATCAATGCTGAAATGGGTGGAAACAGGGGTGACATGATGGTGTGTCTTGGAGAGATTTTCAAAAATTTCCTTCATTGGTTCTGCCTCCATTTTATTGCTTCTTTGTGAACTTTTGAAATCTTAAAATACGGTACTACCAATATATTCTAAGAAGTTCCAGATCCACTCAAACTAACTTTTTGGCATCAGGCTACATAAATCTGTACAACAAATAAGATAATAGCAAAGATCTTTTCTCTTCCTATCTCAAAGCTAATCTGACTCCACGCAATCATACAAAATACCTCCAGATGTTAAATAACTATAATATTGCAAGGATATCTAGGAAATTCTGTAGCAGTCATATTGCTTTGCCTGCAGAGTAAAAGAGGAATCCAATACTTAGTTGAAATAGGTTGAACTTTAGATATACCTCTTCCCCCAGCTCCTTTTACCTGGGCATCTAACATAATTGAGCCCAATTCTGTTTGAGAATGTTCCCTTTTAAAGCTAAAGTAAAATAAGTACGTCTAGCTCTTACAGCTTATACAACGTTTATTTGACCCTACTTTCCCCACAGGCTGCTAATATATTTCTCTCCTTTCTTTTCTAGCCATTCATCTCATATCAAGATTTATCTGCCATTTCCAGTTCTTGAAAACAAATTCTCCTTCGCTTCCAGTCGTCTCGTGTTCACAAAGACTAATCTCCCGAAACAAACATTTTCAAAGTCAATAGTTACATTTCTAATTAACATGTTCAGTGGTTTTCTTCTTCATTTTTTTTCCCCTTAATCCTCAGAGAAAAGATTATTAGCTTTGATTAGAAGGTCATTGGTCACCTTCATTTGATGGGGAGTATGCACATGCAAATAAGATCTGGAAGGGATGAATGTATACTATTTGTCCTAGAAATAGGACTGTATCAGATTCTTATATTTACTGTTTTTCTAATACTTATTCCATAAAGAGTGTAGGAGACAGAGAGGTTATTAGCAACCCCAATCCTTCTGTGTGACTATTAAATAATTTACTCTCTCAGAATCTCCATACTAGAAATGGGACAGGACTTTTCTGAGTTAGTGAAATTCATATTGCTTTAAGTTCCATCATTTAAAGGTCATTTCCCAGCTCCAAAACCTCTAATTATTCAATCTGTCAGCCCTGGGGCTACCTGCTAGTGTCAGTCCACTGTGACAAGTCTGGGTTGCAAAAGAGAGAGGCAGATTCTTGACCTACATAACTAATGAGTAAAAAGCACTGCACATACTGGAGTTTTCCTGGTTGAGAATTCCTCGTAGCTCCTTCAAGTGCTGAGTATTCTCTTTCAGATTATACTCTTTTTTTTTTTTTTCTGACACATAGTGGTCTGTACAATTTTAGAGAAGTCACAGCTCCTTAGCTGCTCACCCACATTTCCCTCACTGTGTCTCCTCTTGTTGTCAGTTTGAATTGTAAAAGTTTGAACTTTTGGGGACATGCGTTTCTTGGCGATTAACCATGCATCTAAACCTTATGACTCTGCATCTAACTCAAAAATGCTTGCTTTCCTCTGTCAAAGTAGCATTTAGAGACTAAAGGTTGGTCCACACTTTCTTATCTGAGATTGGATGATGACCTCCTCTCGTCCTGCAGACCATCAAGCCTTCGGACATCGCCACTGTCCGCACGTTGGGCCGACCCCCTCACCTCATCATGAGGATCATGGATTGTGTGCTCCTCCTGTTTCAAAGGAAAGTCAATGCAGTGAAAATTGACCTGGAAAAAAGCTGTACAATTCCGTCCTGGCAAGAATCTTTAAAACTCATGACTGCAGGAAACTTCTTACAGAACTTACAGGTTGGTAGTTCAGTAACAATGGGCTGAAAGGGGACTCAGACTTCATTAGAGTGTCTGAGTCTTTTAGTAGAATAAGTTTCAGAAAAGAATTTGCTGCGCATACATATTTTGACTTATCCAATTTTTTGCCATCTTTATTGAGGTATAATGACATATAAAAATTCTCTATATTGGGTTGCCTGGGTGACTCAGTTGGTTAAGTGTCCGACTCTTGATTTCGGCTCAAGTCATGATCTCAGGGTTGTGGAACCTGCTTGGGAGGCTCCCCCCCTCTCTCCCCCCTCTCCCTCTGCCCCTCTCTCCCCACCCTGCTCACTCATGTGCTCTCTCTCTCTCAAAAAAAATTCTCTATATTAAGGTGTACAACTTGATATTTAGAGATATGTATACACTGTGAAATCATTGCCACAGTCAAACTAAAGTATCCATGACTTCACGGTTGCCATTTTATTTTGTGGTGAGAACACTTAGAAAATTTGGAGTATACAATGTTGTTAACTGTATTCATATTGCTGTGCATGAGGTCTTAGGACTTAATTTTCTTGCAACTTGATACTTTGTACCCCTTGACCAACATCTTCCCATTTCCCTTCCCCTTATCCCTGGCAACCACCGTTCTGCTCTCTGCCTCTAGGAGTTTGACTATTTTAGATTCTATATATAAGTGAGACATGCAGGATTTGCCTTTCTGTGTCTGGATTATTTCATTTTGCATAATGTCCTCCACAAATGGCAGGATTTTCTTCTTTTTCAAGCCTTGATAATATTCTACATACATATATTGAACAGATATTTAAGTATTTTTTCAGAATAGAATTTTCTCTTTCAAAAACAAGCCATTAGAGCTTTAAAAACAAGCATCAGAGCGTTTCCTGACAGATTTTAGGCTTTTAAGGCATCATCAGTGACATGTTTAAATAAAAATTTAAAAAATTATATTAAGAAAGCAATACATATGTGCATATATTGTATGCTATGAATACAAATATATGTATATTTATATTTTACAAATCTCAATAGTAATTTTTTGAGTAATTTGCATGTTTTTAATTTTGATGTAAAACTTAACATATGATAAAATCTACAAATTTTAAGTACACAGATTAATGAATATTTACATAAGTATATACCTGTTAATAAACACAGAAATCAAGATTTGTATTTCTAGACCCCGGATATCTCTCTGGTATCCCAAACCAGTCAGTAACTTCCTCTAAGATAACCATTATTCTGATCTTTATCCTGATAATTAATTTTGTTCATTTTGAAATTTATAGATATGAAATCATGTCATGTGACTTCTTTTGTTTTGGTCTCTTTTATTCAACAAGGCTTTGAGATTCATTCTTATTTTGCAAGGGTAGTATTTCATTCTTTTTTCATTGGTGTATAGCTGTTCAGTATGTGAAGTGGTAGTATGTGGTAAATATTTAAAACAACTGGTTCTCAGAGGTGAAAAAAGAAAAAAAAAAAGAACAAAAAGTCTAATTTGTAGTGTTTGCCAATTTCCATGGTGTAAATATCCCCACAATGGCCAATTTCAAGCTACCAAAATGATCTTGTTGAATGTAGAGCTGGGGAGAGGTGCCTAGTAGAATAGTAGGAATGTACCCCCACATGGGTACAATAGATATAAACGACCTCAAAACAGGTATTATATAAATATATATAAATATAATATAATAATATAAAGTGATTACTTCTTTTCCTATGTTATTTTTATTTTAAATGAAATAAATATAATATAATAATATAAAGTGATTACTTCTTTTCCTATGTGTTATTTTTATTTTAAATGAAATTTAAATTGTAAGTTTATATAATTTAATTATTAATAATGGTTCTATTTAATAAGAAGTTTGCAAAATTCCTGCAAATTTAGCAATGGTTCCTCCTGAGCGTGTATGAACCAGCACAGTGTGAAATGCTATCATATGTTTCAATTTATTTGTCCATTGTACTGTTGGTGGATTTTTGGGTTGTTACTAGTTTTTGGCTATTATAAATAAAGCTAAAACTACTATGAATATTGGTCTATAGGTAATTTGGTGGCTGTATTTGCATTTCAATTGGCTCTGTACTCAGGAATGGAATTTCTGGGTCTTAGGTTATACATTTTCTTAATAGATGTAAGTTTGTTTGTTTGTTTGTTTGTTTGATTGATGGAAGTGTAGTTGACACACAATGTTACATTAATTTCAGGTGTACAACATAGTGATTGGACAACTCTGTATATTGTGCTATGCTCCCCACAAGTGTAGCTACCATCCGTATACCCTTAAAGCCCTTCATAGGTAGTGCCAAAGAGTTTTCAAAAAATAGCTGTATCAGTTTACATATCTGCCAGCAGTATATAAGTTGTTCTACATCTTTTTAAAAAAATTTTTTATTTAAATTCAATTTAGTTAAAATATAGTGTATTGTTAATTTCAGGGGTAGAATTTAATGATTCATCAGTTGCATATAACACCCAGTGCTCATCACATCACGTGCCCTCCTTATTGCCCATCCCCCAATTACCTCATCCCCCCACCCACTCCCCTCCAGCAACCGTCAGTTTGTTTCCTAGAGTTAAGAGTGTCTTACGGTTTGCCTCCCTCTGTGTTTTCATCTTACTTTATTTTTCCTTCCCTTCCCTTATGTTCATGTGTTTTGTTCTTAAATTCCACATATGAGTGAAATCATATGGTATTTGTCTTTCTCTGATTGACTTATTTCGCTTAGCATAATACCCTCTAGTTCCATCCACGTCATTGCAGATGGCAAGATTTCATTCTTTCTGATGGCTGAGTAGTATGCCACTGTGTATATGGACCACATCATCTTTATCCATTCATCTGTTGATGGACATCTGGGCTCTTTCCATATTGGAAAGATGAACATTGCTGCTATAAACATTGGGATGCAGGTGCCCCTTCGAATCACTATTTTTGTATCCTTTGGATAAATACCTAGTAGTGAAATTGCTGGGTCGTAGGGTAGCTCTATTCTTAACATCTTTTTTTTTTAAAGATTTTTTTTTTTTTTTTTTATTCATGAGAGACAGAGCGAGAGAGAAAGGCAGAGGGAGAAACAGGCTCCCAAGGAGCAGGGAGCCCGATGCGGGACTCGATCCCAGGACCCTGAGATCATGACCTGAGCCGAAGGCAGACGCTTAACCATCTGAGCCACCCAGGCGCCCTATTCTTAACATCTTGAGGAACCTCCATAGTGTTTTCCAGAGTGGCTGCGCCAGTTTGCATTCCCACCAACAGTGTGAGAGGGTTTCCCCTTTCTCCGCATCCTCACCAACATCTGTTGTTTCCTGAGTTATTCATTTTAGCCATTCTAAGTTGTTCTACATCTTAACTATTTTCTGTTTTTCTCTATTCTGATGGGTTTATAGTGGTGTCTTATTATTGTGGGTTTAGTTTGCATTTCCCTGGTAAATAATGATGCTGAGAATCTTTCATCAGTTTATGAGCCTCTTGGGAATTCTTTTGTTAAATGCCTGTCTAGGGCTCTTGTCCATTAAAGTTGTTTTATTAATGGGCAGAATTTCTTTCTATAAAACATGAGTAATTTGCAAATATCTTCTTCCACTTTCTGCCTTAGTTGTTCATTCCATTAAATCTGTCCTTTGATCCACAGACATTCTTAAGTTTAATGTAGTCCAGTTTATCACTGTTTTCCTTAATTGTGCTTTTTGGGTTCTGTTTGGTAAATCTTTGCTCCTCTGCCTCTAAGGCAGAATAAATGCTTCTGTGTTTTCTTCTAGAAGTTTTATTGTTTCATCTTTCATATTTGGATCTTGACAACACTACCTGGGAATACCCAAGTCACGTCTATGTCCCAAGCAATGACCTTAGCACTGCCTCTCGCTCCATTTTCAATGCCACGTTGCCAGGTGGCTGGAGCATCTTGTGAGCCACCTTACAGCAGCTGCAGCAGTGGGCAGCTTATGAAACCAGGGGCCGTGCAGACCTGCCCCAGATAATTAAAATTAAAATATTCGGGACTCTCTGACATCAGTGCCACCGAGAAGGAATAACAGGCTGCTTGAGTGCAGGGGAGGTTAACTCTGATGGGTGCGTGTGGCGATGGAGGAGACTTAAGCAGTTTTAACAGCAAAGTGTGACAGAGGAATTGGACCTCACAGAGCATCCTGGTGGGTGACTCAAGGTTCCTGTCCTATGTGACTGGTGGCAGGGCCCCTGCTCTTGGAAGCTCCCTTGCCACTTGCCTTTTGTACCACTGCCCTTCCATGGCTCCCAAATATTCTTCTGGCTTTTCTTCTGGCTTCACTGTTTCTCAAAGGTCATAAAAGAAACTTGTAGTGGAAGATGTCTAAATGAGAGTGTGGGTTCCATCCTATCTCATGTATGTTCTGTGAAAGCTGTTATGTAGGCACTGCATTCCTTTCTACTTGGAGAAGATCTAATCATCTTCTTTGAGAGGATCAAACACCTCTTGAGGAAGGTCCAGGTTCGTTGGTTGGCCAGTCTTCTCTTGACGTAAGAAAGCATTCATAATGCACTTTTTCAATTTTATATCCCTTCAGAAGATAACAGTTCTCTCACATTCTGGATAATTTTATGATTAAAAATTAATTCATTGCCCTCAAGACCTAATGTCCAGGTTGTTAACTTTGAATTTCAGATGAATTTAATAGAACCTCTCTTTGAATGTATGAAGCATTTAGTTGCTGCTAAATGCTAAATAGATTTTGTCCTTAGGCTGAGTATACCTGAGTGTATTTGTTTTCCATTATTGATTTTATGGGCTTACAATTCACCTATTTAGGATTAATGACATGAGAATGTTATCACTTTGGAAATTTTAGTAACCATATTAGTATTCATCACCTAAATAATTTACTCTTTCCCTGGATCCCAGAACATTTATTGAGGGTTGGTATCTCTTATTCACAGAAGCTAAAGTATACTCTTGACTTCTTTGCTGTCACTGCTTACTCTGTTTTTGCTTTCAGGACTTTGGCCCAATATCCTGAGGTATCAACAAAGTGTGATGTCATTCATCCATTCTTGGTTATTCAATAATACCAGTGGCATTGTAAGCATGATGTATGACTTCATGGAAAGAAGTATTTTGGGACTTCATTTTACTCTTTTTCTTTCATAGCAATTCCCAAAAGACACAATCAATGAAGAAGTGATAGAATTTTTGAATCCTTACTTTGAAATGACAGACTACAACATTGAAACTGCTAAACGCGTATGTGGGAACGTAGCTGGCCTTTGTTCCTGGACCAAAGCCATGGCTTCCTTCTTTTCTATCAACAGAGAAGTGTTGCCTCTGAAGGTGAGCCTCCTAGGTAAAACCACATGATACGTGCCTGTAAGAGCCCTTGAGGTCACCTGGCCTTATCTTTTCAGATAGCACAGGAACCTTTGGCCTCTGGTGTGGTTGTATTCAAGTCCATGGGGAGAGCAAGTGACAGAAAGGCCGAGCACAGGATGTTTCTCTTCTCTGTAATAACCACTCCAGTCAGAGTTGTGCAAGCCTTTAAGCATGGACTCTCTGCAAGGATGCCAAGTCCACTGTGGGCTGTTGGGTATTTTTCCTCCACAGCATCAAAGAAACACAGAAAACTATAGCATAGAATCCCCTGATAATATCCAAGATCTCCTTCCAAGGAATCTTATGTCCGAGGCAGGATAAGTACACAGTTGGTGGCTGGTCTTGGTTGTAAGGTATGACATAGTACTCCTGCTCTTCTCCTTTGTCCCTCAGGAAAGAAAATGAATGTCATCTGTTCTTTAATGTAATTGGAGAGTATGCCTGTTTCCCTTTGATTAATTGCTTTTCTAGGCTTCAGATGCACATACACATCCCCATCAGTGACAGTCTTCAGCAGATGGGGAGGCAAATACATGCTTTGAAAATGGAATACCAATGTCTCAAAAATCGCATGTGTGGCCTGGTTGATTATTTTGCTTTTGTATGAGTCTGATCTCTCTCAACCATCAACTGAAATCCACTTATGCTTATAAACTACCCGAGGAACTTAATAATCATGATAAAAATAATCGAGAGTGGAAAGAAGATAGGGATCAAGTTGCAAGTCCCATTTTATTTTCTAACTGTTACCATACCAGGGTCATTTATTCAGTGGCTGAAGCCCCTTGGGGTCTTAAAGCAACTTAAAAGAACAAAGACTCATTTGGTTTAGGGAATTTTAGAGCAAATGATTGATGCCATGCTGTCGATGTTATGAATTTTGGGACCATTGAAGACTTCCAGCATAGCTCCAAAATGGGCATTCTGATATTGGCTGAATTATAACCACCTTATCAAATGAAAAATACAGGGCATCCTTTGCAAATTTTTCCAGTGAGTAAGCATACAGTGTTTTTAAGGGAATGGCAGTTGAATTCATGTTGCTTTTATTTTGTTGTAATTATTTTAAATAAAATGAGCTGCAATCAGTACCAAATAATGGCCATTCTGAACAAGGCTTACATGGGAACAAGGAAATCCCTTGCCCTGTTCCAGGACACTTTAGCCTCCACCTAGTCTTATGACAATCTAGATGCTGTGGTAGGAAGTGAAGGGAACACTGTCAGAAGGGGGAATGTTTTACTGGTGCCTAGAACCTCTGCTTTTCTTTCTGGGAAGTCAGTCTTGGAAGTGGCCTCCTGAGGTCTTATGAGCACCCAGCTCCTGGGAGCCTGGCTGTGTCAGGGCCTTCTGAATGTTCTGTCATGAACACAATCACTGCTTAAGGAGAAGGCAACGATGGCGGGAGTGCAGGTTATCACTGGGCAACTCTGCTCATGTGTGAAGCATCAGTGACTGAGGCCTATAATTTCATGTGTTCCTGGGGGGGCTTCCCTGGCAAGCTCCTGCCTCTGAGTGAGGACAGATTAAGGACACTCTTTACACTCCAGCTGGAACCTCCTCAACACTAAGCAGTGACGAGGCCCCTGAGGGGCTCTTCTCCTTCGTCTGGCAATCCCTCTCAAGGGGCCAAGTGATGTCTAGTAGTGAATAAACTTAAATACCAACTAATGCCAATTTAGACTCCATTCATGTTAATTATAATGCGATTTCTCCTTGAAAACCATGAAAACCAGTAAATATCAGTCCACATAAACAGAACGTTTATAACAGTAGAGTCTTAAATACTAAACTCGGACAACAACATCTATTATTTATTGAATTCTTGTTGTATGCTAGGCACCAGCCATGGGTGTTTACGTATGTTATCTTATTTAATCCTCTCGCACACACACATCCTAGGAGGTAGATTTTCAACATCTTCATGGATAAACTGAAACTTCCAGAGTGTAAGTGGTCTGCATGGAGTCCCACAGCTCCTGAGGTGAGCCGCTGGACTTGAAGGATTCTGTGCCTTTTGGTTGGCAACTTTCAAGTGCTTCATTAAAAATGTTTTCAACTTATTTTTTCTGAGTAAAATTCTAAAAAATACCCCAAATCTCTGGGGCTTTGACATTAGTGTGTTGCTTTAGTGAGTTGTTGGGCATTGTTACCTTGTTTTTCTTTTATGTTTAAGCCACAGCGACAGGTGCAGTTTACAGCAGACCTGAGAAGATAATGTCCCAAGAGTTAGATCCTTTTTTAAAGTGTAGCTGTTAAGCCACACTTTTGCCTGTCATTGGTCCTAGTAACTTAAGGAACTTTGACTTTCCCTTAAAGAATTATTCTGCCAAAATTTGGGAGCCTGAGGTTGTCAGACAGGAAAATAATTTATTTCTGAAAAATTTTTTCAAGATAATCTTTTCTTCTGAAAAACTCCAGAGAGAATGTGGCCCTAATAGTGGATTATCCCCATTAAAGTCAATTTTAACATTTTAGAGACTTAAAGAGGAAAAACTTGATTCCAAAAAATTGTTTAAAGCATCTAAATTCCTGTAAGCATGGACTGTTTTCTACATCTCGTCTTTTGCTAATATTGCTTTTGAATATGTCTTTTGAGTCAAATTTAGTAGCTTCCTTAAAAACAATATTTTTAATTAGTCACAGCTGAAGGTATCACTTCTTTTATGGGAGGAAAACAATATATGATGACTACAAGAACAACATCAAGATCACCACGACTCACAAAATCTCTATTTTACATTCAGTGAATAATTAGGTTCCATTTTTTATCTTGTTTTAACATCCTTATCAATAGTGATGAGTCTTACCAGGCAGAAGGTTCTCAATATTCAGTTTTTTCTTCTTCTACAATAATATTACAATGTTCTGTAATGTACCTATGCATTTAATACTGCAATGCTCTGATCTAAGGACACCAGCAAACTCCGGCCCACAGGCCAAATCTAGCTCACAACCTCTATGTGTACAGCTTGTGAAATAAGAAGAGTTTTTACATTTTTTAAATGGTTTTTAATTAAGTGCAGAACAATAGCCTTGATTTTGCCCCTTGGCCCAAAACATCTAAACTCTTTATTATCTGGCACTTATGGGAAAAACGTGCTGACTTCGAATGAATTATAATTTTCTGCTTATAAACATTTATATCAAGTCCACACTAAGATTTGGTCCTGACTTAATGCAACTTCAAAAGACTCTAGGGGTAGAGCAGAGAACAGGTATGAGCATTGCTGAGATCTCAGATGAGATGCTGGCTGTTTGGTTGGCTGTGCATCATTCATCATTTGCCTTGGGTATGTCCTTTGCAGGCCAACTTGGTGGTACAGGAGAATCGTTACATCTTGGCCATGCAGGATCTGCAGAAGGCGCAGGCTGAGCTGGATGACAAGCAAGCAGAGCTCGACGTGGTGCAGGCTGAGTATGAACAGGCCATGACCGAAAAGCAGGTAACTCCTCAGCATGGGAAGGCCCGTCATATACCAACATGGCTTTTGTAAACCCTTCCTTTGCTCCTTTCTCTCTCCAAGGGTTTGGTTCCCAACAGGGATGGATATAATGTATATATAGTACATAAACCACACATCATCCCTCACTAAGCCCTGGAGTTTGTTTCTAACACCAAGGACGTTGGTGAGAGGTCAGGATGGTCAGGCAAGATAGAAGTCAGGTCTGGAACATAAACATCCTGAGTCTCCTTATGGATGGTGATGAAAACAGCCCCTGTGGAACACTTTCTGTTATGTTTTTCAAATCACGTCTTCCCACTTTATCTCATTTTAATCTTTGAAATAATCTTGCAAGATAAGCAAGGTGGATATTTTTTGTTGTCATTTTGGAGAAAGGAGCTGAGGTCCAGAGGACGGCTCCTGGTCATAGGGCTGGATAGTCTGAACTAGACCTTGGCCTTCTGGTGTCCACTTCAGGCCTCTCTGCTGGACCAGTGTGACTGGCCACGTGGTTGCATCTGATGACAATGACCATCTATGGTCTTCTCAACCTAGTCTGCAAGCTAGCAGCTGTAGAACCTTTCAGAATCTGGGTTCATACGTTTCTGATCCACTGGGCAGTAAGTTCTTTATCTTATTTATACTAATTCCAGCTCCACGGGGGCTTCTTTGCTTCTGGAAATTTGGGCAGTTTTAACACACACCTAATGTAGCTTAAGTTTAAGAACTCCTCATGTGCACAGGCTCCTAGGTGCTGGGGTTCCTGGGGGTTGTAGGGTGTTTTAGGGGGAGGGAGACCAGGTTATGATTGGCAAGTATTTGCATATACGCGTTCAGATAAAATACCTAGAAATTTCAGAGGAAAGGTACCTGAGTTTCTAAGACACCAAGACTTTGTAGTGTTTTTTTCCCCCTCTCAATCTAAATACATATTCACTTGGGTGTTTTGTATTTGTGAATCTCTAATGATTTTCTTGAAATGGACCCCACCCCACAGATTATGTAAGCTTCTGGCCCCACAAAGTCTGTATCTGCCTCTGGTAAATCCTGTGTTTGATAAATAAGGGACAGATTCACTCTGTTCTTCCCTTGATGATTTTACGGAGTTTCCTCCTGCCTGTTCTCAGTCTTCACTGCTCAGGATTGAGATTCCTGCTCTGATAGTCCCGTCTCTTATGGGAGTCCCAACAAGGGAACTTAGATGAACACTTCAGTTTTACTATGTGCAGAATGTGTGATATTTCCACTCTTGAAAGCAAAAGGAGAGCCTTTTAGAAATTTTAGAGAAGTAATTGTACAACACCTATTTGGGTTTGTTAATTATGCTCTTTGGGATTCACTTATCATCATATAAAGAGAAAATTAGCATTGCAATTCGAAAGAGTCTACTTTAGAAACTGTGGGGAAGGTGTGATCATTAGTTACACGGTGGACACTCACTTCTATTTGGAGGTGCTACTGAATTCACTAGAAGTATTTTAGGCCCCATGTTGTTATGTTTCAGTTGTAACATTTTTGAATTAGTTCATTCAGTATTATTTTTGGTTTTGAGATCTCCTGCTTATGGGGACCATACAAGAAGTGCTACTGTAAAGGTATGGCTCTGACTTTAAAACTTGTTTCAACAAATATCAAGGTTTTTTAATTAAAAAACACAAAATCTGGCTGTGAGTCCACCTGCCTCCCACATGCTGGGGTGAACCTGACCTTTAGTCATCCTGTGGCTCCTTCCCCCTCCATGAGCTCCGTGCGAGTCCTGGGGGCTTATGGACTTATGGAAGGTGGGGAGGGGCAGGACCTTGAATCCACAGTTCATCATGGTCGGACCCATAACCTCCTGCCCCAGGTCTGTGCTGTCTGCTGAAGGAGAGTGTGCCCTGCTCCTTTCTGCACAGAGCAGTGCCTTTGTGGGGCCCACTTCCCTAGGCCTTCTGGACGGCTAGTTACCCTCTGGGAGCACCCACAGAGGGTGGGCCGGGGCCCTGCCCGAGGAACCCAGGGAAGTCCGCTCACTGCCCCAGCCAGGCTCAGAGGGAAGAGCTGCTTCTGGCTCCTGTACTCTCTGACATCTGCTCCTCTCCCCTTCTCGCTATTTCCATCCCCTAAAGGAGCATGGGCTCCCAGGAAAGAAAAGCCAGAGGGGGGGCCCTGGCCATTTCCTTATTTGGCCAATTGGGAGTGGGGATGGGGAATTTTGGGAGGACAACTTAATCTTAAAAATATCTTTTACATGAAAAGTTTGTTTCAGAGGTAGGCAGACATAAATGATTTGTAGGATCACACTTCCCAGTCGGCATCTTTCTTCCTGGGGAGAAACAAACAAACAAATAAATATGGGCGATATAGATGTGGTACACCTCAGCTGGGCTTTTAGGTTTCCTACATTAACTCTGCGGGGAAAGGAAAATAGAGTAGAATAGAGTCCCAGAGAAAAAACTAGAATAAATATCTTGCTTTTGAAAAACACTGTATTATGTTATTATTACAAAAGCAACTCATGTTCCTTATGGAAGATACACATAGAGAATCCTGGAAATGAACACTAAAAATATTTGCTCTTTTTCATTTCCTATCTGAACATATTCCTTGATTTACATATATTTAAAAAATATATGTAAAATATAACATTTGAATATATAACATAATTCAATACATACTGTTTATAAATTGAATTTTTAACTTAGTAATATATCATGAATATTTTCTTGGTTATAAAAATTTTTATAAGATAATTTTTAATGGCTTCAGAGTAGTCTTATTCACGGGTATACCATAATTCATTTAAATATTTCTCTAGTATTAGACATTTAGCATATATAACAATTATATATTATGTGTAACATACACATGTTATAAGTGAACTTCCAATGACTGGTCTTGTAGCTAAATCTTTATCATACACATATGTTTTTACAAGTAGAATTGGCATTTGCCTTAAGGAGAAAGAGGAGTGTTGAGTGGCGTGTGGAAGTCTGGTTCAAGGTCTTTTAGTGATACCGAGAGCACCAGAGAGGGACCTGCTGAGTCAGGTGTCACTGGGAAGTGTGAGTGAGCCTCAGAACAGCACAATCTGAAGATAATCTAAAGTTTCACCTCAAGTCAAAGAAGATGTGCACTTAGATCAAGCAGTAATGATGCTAGAACTTTAACAGGAAAAATATTCCTGAGTTTCAAGTAGGGATATGTATTGTTTTACCTTTTTTGTGCTATATATTAGTAAGTAGGCTTGTATTTTATTTCTATTTTTCTTCATAGGGAAGTCATGAATGAAGCAAATTTCTATTATCTCTTAGTTATCAACACCTGGGGAGACTCTGACCCATGAGCTCAGGACCCCACGTGAAGGTTTAAGAGCTGGGCTTTGGCTAACACAGGCACACAGGAATTGAATCTTATGGTTCCTATGGGATAAGTGGCTCACAGGTCTTAGAAGGGTAGATAATATATAATGGTTTAAAATTATATTCTTGAGCCAGAGGCTGTATTTTTCTGAACAAAAGTTTTCTTCTGATTCTGGCCTTTTTTTAGACCTTGCTTGAAGATGCGGAGCGCTGCAGACGAAAGATGCAGACTGCCTCCACTCTGATCGGTGGCTTGGTGGGAGAAAAAGAAAGATGGACAGAGCAAAGTAAAGAGTTTGCTGCACAAACAAAAAGACTTGTAGGTATGTAAATTCCTGTATTAATCAGATTATGTGTTGACTCCATTAGGGAGTTAGCAAACTGAAACTTTTATCAGAATACAAACCAACCCTCTAGTACTTCAAATTCCTGTGTGTGTGTGTGTCCAGATATTTCAGAAGGATGAATATTGGTCTGGCATCTATTCAGCCGTTATTCGATGTATTAATGATCTTCAAACCTCTTATCAGGTCACTTTGAATTCTCCTATGAGCTAATGGTTGTATTGATTCAGGTCACTTGGAATGGAGGCTCTGTCTTCTCAGGTTTTGTATCTCTTAAGCTCCAAAATCATACTCTCACATCCAACAAGCGTCAAAATAACCTAGTTGATGACTAACAGGTATTACTTGGTGGACCGTTTGGACCCTGTTTAACAATGATCTACTGCTTATTCACCAAGACACAGCAATGTGGTTACAGTTTGGTTTCTGGAAGTTAGTTTAAGAGTGGTTGCCTTTAAAAAATGTTTAGTATTCTGCACGATTACAAGGCTGATTATAAAGTATTTCAGTGGTGTTTTGTTTTCTGTTTTAGGGGATGTATTGTTGGCTACAGCTTTTCTATCTTATTCTGGTCCATTTAACCAAGAGTTTCGCAATCTGCTGCTGTATGACTGGCAGAAGGAAATGAAAGCCCGGGAAATCCCATTTGGAGACAGTCTAAATCTCAATGAGATGTTGATTGATGCTCCCACTATTAGTGAATGGAACCTCCAAGGTCTGCCAAATGATGACCTATCTATTCAGAATGGAATTATTGTCACAAAGGCATCTCGCTATCCTTTGTTAATTGATCCACAAATTCAAGGGAAGATCTGGATTAAAAATAAAGAAAGCCAGAATGAACTCCAGGTAATTTGTGTTTGAGTATATTTATGTTACTGTGAAGTTTTATTGCCCCAGATGAACAAGAGTCCGAGAGTCAAGAAATATTTGAAAATAGTAGAGACTGTAATCCTAGATAGAGCAGTAACAGATGCAAGCCTAAAGTCTAATATTAAAATCTTTTCTAAAAATTACATTTACATTTGTATGGATCTCTACTAATGCCATCTTTCAAAGGTTTCAGATTCTCTTCTGTTAGAGCCTAAATCCCTCTTTGATGAACAGAGCAGGGTGGAGTTTATCACACTAAGTGTGTAGCCCTCTACCAGGACACTTCATGGTTATTCCATTATTATTTGTCACGAAAGTGGTGGTGATGAGGAGAAGACAGGTTGCACTGGGGAATGACAGTTTGCTACGGAAAAGGATGGAAACATTTTAAGCTTTCTGTACAGTCTCACCAAGTATGAGTTCCAGATAAGGTTCACGAAAAATCTCTGTATTTGTGTCCCATGACAGAATGCTCAGGCACCCTTTAATGTCCATTCTCTCTGTCTATGGCATTGTGATATTGTCAACAGCAACCTTTGGATCTTGTTTCTAGATCACATCTCTAAATCACAAGTACTTCAGAAACCATCTGGAGGACAGTCTTTCTCTTGGAAGGCCCTTGCTTATTGAAGATGTTGGGGAGGAACTAGATCCAGCACTGGATAATGTTTTGGAGAGGAACCTCATTAAGACTGGGTCTATCTTTAAGGTAGGTTAAACCTATTGATAATTACATGAGGAACCATTATCACGAGGCCAGGTAAATGTGACATAGGCAACAACTGAAATTTGAGTCAGCGGCAAGAGGCATTTGTTTTTTCTCTTCTACACTTCCTGAGTTGGAATTAAAATTTTCAAGAGCAGTCCTTTTAGAAATATCTACTTCTTTTGTGTGATAGAGTCTGACTCCATTTTGATGGGTTACTGTAGACATCTTTCAAAACCCATTATGACCCTCACCCCTTCTGTCCCGAACCTGGGCAAGCTGATAAGAAAACCTGGGGCTCTCGCCTTTGACATTGGTGGGAAAATCAAACCATGCAATCCTCTGTTTATGCCCTACGTGGGAACCTTTATCCCAGCCCTACCCCCTAATCACCATAAAACCCTAAAAGAGCTGCTTTTCCCTACTCTCTCAATCAATTTTTGGGACCTGGTTGGGGGTCTACTTTAATCTCTCCAGAAATCTAATTATGTGAGCAATAAACCTTTCATACACTTTTGACGCTTATGTGATGTCATCAGTCTTCACCTCTGAACCAAATTTTGGATGGGTAATCCATCTCGCCTCTGTGGTATGACCACACCAATTTTGGTGCTAAATTCTACATTTATGGTATATACTGGCATACATTGAACTTCTTCCCTCCCTCCCTCCCTCCCTTCCTTCATACCCACCTTCCTTCCTTTCATCCTAGTGGTCTGAAGCCCTCTGAATGCCTAATGACCACTTCTTTTTCAGTATACAGAGATCTCCAGTTATACAATTCTTTAAAGCAATGCTTGATCCTGTGGAGAAAAGGACACAGTAAGGTATATGTCTCTTTTATTACTTTTGACTTTATTTTTATAATAAAGGTGAAAGTTGGTGATAAGGAAGTAGATGTGATGGATGGCTTCAGACTCTACATCACCACCAAACTGCCCAATCCAGCCTACACCCCTGAAATAAGCGCTCGGACCTCTATCATTGACTTCACTGTCACCATGAAAGGTCTGGAAGATCAGTTACTGGGGAGAGTCATCTGCACAGAGAAGCAGGTGAGTGCTGTGTGACCACCTCTTTTTTGGCATTGTGTTGTGATTCTTTCATTGATGAAAATAATATGATAAAAGTTGTAATAGGATTGAGGCCCCCCCTTTTATTCCTGTGGGTTTTTTCCATTATTAATTCCCAGGTGTCGTGGGTAATTACTAACCGATTACCCTCTATGTTTCATCTGTCTCATAAGTCACATATACCCATTGATTTTGTGTATACTAATGATGTATCTATGAGAATATCAGTCTCATGCTCAGCATCATTATTCTGGTCTTATATTGCTTCATTTTTCTGAAGAGTTTGCATGATCATGAGTTCTGTTCATCTGTTGACTTTTAGGTTTCTAGGCTACAGCTAGGTTTTTCTTCCATTCAATTCATTATTATGCTTTTGGAATATAAAATTAAAACTCATGGCTTCAAACCACTATGATTAAAACCAGCTAACAGACAACATTCTCAGTCCTTAATGTTGCCTGTGAGAAACCTCTGTGTATGTTGTGACAAGACAGATATTTGTGGATCTGGAGCTTCAGGGAGCACCTTCTGGAGGCTGCTGGCTTAGTTATGTATCTGTTTTCTCTACTTCTATTTGGTGGAATAACTTAACGATCAATAAAAAGTAGCCAATAATTTATAAACCTCCTTGTTTTGAGTCAGCGTTTTCTCTAGGGAATATGTGAGTCTTAAAGAAGTCTAGAGGATTTTAATAGGACTGCTTTGGTAGAACTGCATGAACTCTAAGAGTTGCTATTGATTTTCTCCTGGGTTCAGTAGCAATGAGGAGTCTAGTTTATTTTATAGCCCCCTTTTACACTGACCTCAAGATTTATTTAGGTTAAAACTATTGGAAAAATCTTTGGAATCTGTCCTTCCCATTATTTTGATTATTATTATTATTTTTTGTATGTTTCATGCTTGGTCTTCTGAGTCCTTCCATATGTTTATCTCTTGCTTCTTCGCTGCCTCTTCCCCTCTCTCATTTCCTTTTTTATGAATATTCTCTTTTTATTTTTTAGTTTATAGTGCATGAATCATAGAGTCGTATGGTTGGAAGTTGCACTAAAAGCATTAAATCTGACTTTGTAGATTCATGTAGTTAGTGACCTCAGAATGGCAGGAACTGAGGCCAGAGTTTCTACCACAGACTAGCTACTGAAGTACTAACAGCCTTTAGAATACGTGCTTGTTTATTTTTGGAGTCTGAGTCAAGCTAGTTGAGGAAGCCTAGCACTGCCATATCCTTACTTCAGGAAGGACTGGGATTCTTGATCCACAGCATGCAGTGTCGGGCAGGGAATCCCTGAGAGTCTTTGGGGCAGCGGCCATTACCCGTACGTTAGGCTCTGCTTTCACCTGTGGCATTGGCTTTGGGGAGGTAAGGGGTCCTGATGGCAGTTTGAAAAATATCCTTGTCTTTGGTTTTCTCACCTTCAGCTGAGATGAATATCGTTTCCTTGGAAGAAATAATTTGGTCTGACAGATTTTGTTTGCAACAAAACAGCTCCAGCCCTGGAGTCATAATTTTTAGAAGTTTAAGATGAAGCGAGGAGCACTTTAAGCTCCTTTGAAAAGACATTGAACAGCCTTGAAAAGCCAATATGGATCCCAGGCTGGGCTTTTTCTTACCCCCTGGAAAAGTACCTTGAGTGTCTTGAGAAAATTATTCCTTAACTGTTGTCTCATGATCGGAATCCATTCCAGGCTCACAGTAGATAATTCTTAGGAAAAGTATGGCCATAAGAACGGGACCCTCACTCTCTTATAATATTAGAGGGTCCTCTTACCCTGAACCACATGATTATACAACATGTAACCTGTATTTTTCTCCTCTAACGCAAGTAGTGAGCTGTTGGACTTAATTTTGAAGGCTCTTCAGAATATATTTCCTGCAAGCAGCCTTTTCTTTTGTAGCATCTTGTCTTCCCACCACACCCCTGAATTCGCTCATGTTGCTGAATCATCTCAGCCTGGGTGGTGGCAGGTGGGTTTGAGTTGATCTCTGGGGCTTTCTGGAAATTGAGTAACTCATTTGAATAGAGCCTACAGATTCAAAAAGTGTTCCTTTGACTTCTGTGACAATGCCATCTTTCTGACTATGATCTCTTCTTAGGTGAGTATTATGAATACTCCACCAATATAAAATGCTATTGAGCCAAGGGTGGGTACTGGAAGCAGGGAAGACCCCACCAGTGAGAAGCTGGTATTGGAAAGCCTCTAAGGAATTCCCTTACACATCGAGCTGAAACAAAGAGTGGGTTCTCCTACAGTCAGGACGAATTCAACCTTCACTGCTCTGTCGATTCTTCTTGTGAAAGGTGGCTCAGGAAAGGCCATTCTTCTTTGAATCCATACATTCACCAGCTGTCCAGTGTCTTGGAGATACTGGCAGTGAGGACCCTTGTTATCACATGGATCCGGTCTCGTCAATGCTTGGCTGTACAGCCTGCTGGGCCCTCAGGTTTGTTTGCTTTCAGAGGCAAATGCAAACCCCAGAGCATGGGAATGCAGGGAAGGCAGATTTATGATTTTATATATATATATAAATATAAGATATATTTATATATATCTTCTCTGTACTCCAAAGCAGTCATTTTAAATGTGTGAGCTGTTCAAGGTTATATCAAGGCCATGGCCATATTCAGTTGTCGACCTGATACACCTGTGAGTAGATGTAGGCAGCCTGCTCTTGTCACCAGAAGGCAAGGTATCAAGACCATTTTAAACAGGCAGCAAACCACTAGTTCTTCAGCAACTATCCTTTAAAAAAGAACAAAACAAATTTCTTGGGTTCACTCTTACCTTGATCTTAGAGAACAAGACAGAAACTCAAAGACAGCTATATACTATTAGGAGAAAAACACTAATCTAGAATAACAGCTTCTGTTGGCCACACAACACAAAGCCTCAGGGGTCACCTTGTTCAGAATCCCAGAGGAGCAAACAGGTGTGTGATTTCCTTTGGAGGTGTAAGCACCCAAACTCGGTGGAACCAACGGGAAAAATAATTTAATGAAGACCCTTAAACAGATGTTGTTATCACCAGCTCACTGGTACAGAGAAAAAATAAATCTAAATTCTATTGTTTAATCTTTCTCTTTTAATTACCAGTGTAAGGTGCAGGAGAGAAGGAACCTTTGGGAATGAGAGCCTGGGTGCTCCCTTAGAACTGAGAACTCCGAAAAGCTCATCTGTTTCTTTTTACTGATTTCAAAACCATAGTTACAGATGCAGTTTAGGTACACACATAATTTTGGTTGTCATTTGCATCTTTGTTGCGCCACTTAATTTTTGATCACTTAATTAATAAATAATATGTTTCCTGAAATTGTCCTGCATTACCACTGTACTTGTTTACTCACTTTGGGGATACTTTTCATATTTTCACAGTTTATATAAAGAATTTACATGGCAGCCTTAGGAAATAGAATACATAACACAAATGTTTACCTGTGTGTGTGTGTGTGTGTGTGTGTGTTGAGATAACCCCTTTGATGGGAAAATGCTTATAGACAAAATGATTTTGATTAATTTTGCTCCTTATTATCAATTTCAAAAAGAACTATCTTCTTATAGATTGGAGGACCTAGAGTCATAGTTCAACAGAACCATGTTTAAATCAGCCATACAAATGAGCATACACCTAAAACCTTATCCCAAAATAGGTTTTTCTGTTTTAAAATCCTGAATGAGAAGCAAGTAGCAGGGTGCTTGTGTGGCTCAGTTGGTTAAGCGTCTGTGTCTGCCTTCCATTCAGGTCATGATCCCAGGATGCTGGGATCAAGCCCCACGTGGGGCTCCCTGCTCAGTGGGGAGTCAGCTTCTCCCTCTGCTCTTCCCCTCTGCTTGTGCTCCCTCTCTCACAAGTAAATAAATAAAATCTTAAAAAAAAAGAAGAAGCAAATAGCGGTTCTGTTTTCCTTCAGAGATAACTTTCTTTTTTCCATAACTCTTGTCCCATTGTAGCGTTTGGTCATTTACCTGCTATTTAGTACACAGATTGCTTTCATAATTCCAAATTGCTTTGAATTGTACTGTTTACTTTAGGGGATATTATTTTATCAGTTTCAAACTTTGGGGGAAATGTACTTCCTAGCCTCATTTTAATCCTTTAGGAATATAGGCAGTTACTTTAATTGGCAAATTTATTGGTGTTAACAATGATATTGAAGTGACTACAACCATCTCAATAATGTTCACGCTTTTACTTGCTATTTTTAAAATCAGGAATTGGATAATTTGCCTCTTTTTATACATTATATTAAATGTTTATTTTGTGAGTAACAGTTTTTGTAAGTAACACGGGGGTATGATTTTAGTACTGATTCTATGGTTTTCAAGGGGAGATGAGATTGGAAATGTAGGTTGTAATAAGTCTTGTAAACTGTTGAGAATTTTGGAGCTTTCAAAACAGCTGAGGGAGATCCCTGAATACCTAGGAGCAGGAAAGGGGGTGATGACAGAGAAGAGGGTCAGTGGGGAGACCTGTTATGGTTAGAGTAGTCCGTGAAGAATAACTAAAGCCTAAGCCAGGGCTGTGGCTATGCATTTGGAAGACATGGATGGAGGGAAAACTATGGTGCTGGAAGAATCTGTAAGACTTGGTGCAGTTTTTGGATTTGACAGCCCATGCTCTCGTCCCAGCAGACATGAGAGCATGCATCCTTAGCCTAAGTGCAAGATTAGAAAGTTCTCTTTTATCCCATTTCAGCCACTTTATTAGGCTTTTGTAATGATATGTGAAATTCTAAAGTATGGTTTATTTTATGTCAACCTATAATTTTATTTTTCAAACTGCTTATTTTCCCAATAGGTATTATAATGCTTCTGAAAAATCCATGCTTAGAATGAATCAAAGAAGGGGAGAAAAGGGGGAAAGACATATTTGGAACAGTTATCATGATCCAGTTACTGTTGTAACTGCTTTACTAGTTATATCCTGACAATCACTCTCTGAGCTGTTTCTATATCCATCTCACAGATAAGGAAACTGAGGCTCCTAGAGTTATATAACATGACCAACATCATGCAGCTGATAGATTCTAGGGGCTGTGATTCAAGCACATGTCTTCCTGATGTCAAAACCATCATTTGCCCCATGGCTTTATGATCCTTCCCTTACCTGTCTTCTTCAGGTGAGGATTTTTAGACCACTCACCTTTAGGAACTCAGGCACGATAGTGATAGTGTGTGAAATATGGGCATATGGCAATAAAAAATATCTGAATTTTTCCTTTGAACATGATTACTTTATTTTTTAGTGTAACCGTAGTGTAAGTTCTTTTTTTTTTTTTATAGCTGCTTATGGAGAGGAATTTTGCAGGTGTCTTAAATGTTACTTTCTGTACTAATTTTTTTTTACATTTTCTCAAATTTGAGATTCTTATCTAGTGAGTAAATGAATGAAAATAACCACGAAGGAAGCTTTTCAAAGACCCAATACAAAGAAGCAAACATGATAAAGGCAGGTTTTGCTGAAGTTGCTTTGTCACCAAGAATTAAGCAAGTTCTGAGATTTTGCTCAGAGCCTGGTAGGGTTCTACCCATCGTAACTGTTGAGTCAATGGTGATTAACTCGCTAGAATATAAAGCAGTGGCCAGTGGCCTTTGTTCTTTGTATTCATGCAGTTTTGTTACTACCACCTTTATTTTAGATCTGTGGTTTTCAGTTACAGGGTAAGAATTTTCTCCCAGCCTCTGGGCTTTGTGCTGTCTTTGGCTTGCTCTGTGTGATGGCCATGCCCTCCTTCCCCACCCTTTCCAGTCCCATCTTTTTTTCCTTCTGTCCCATGGACTCCCCTCTCCAAACCACCATGAGGAAGAAGTAGCCAATCAGGACAATAACCTTCCAAAATCATTCTCTCCCCAGCCATCTATAAAGATCCTTCAGGAAAGATCTAGAACTTCCCTTCTCTTGGAGAGAATAGCACCTTTTCAGGCCAAGAACAGTTTCCAGTTTAAAGGTACCTGCAGCAGCCAAGTGGATTGTTTGCCTAACTTGTTGGACACTTGCTTTTCAGGGCATTGGATACTATTTCAACCAGCAAGCTGACAATAATCACATTCAGACAACAACGGAGCTCTCATAAACAAGAAACTAAACAGAAGAAAATGTATTTAATCCGAGAGATTGATACGTGTCTTTAAATATATTCCAATATATTTTCAAATATTTTTCACCTTCAGAACAAGCTTACGTATAATCACAAATGTTGCTTAAAGTTATTTGACTTTAGGAAATAGATAGATGGTCCAGAGAATATTGGTCGTGTTTTTAGCAAATGTCATGTTACTTGCCACCCATTCTTCTTTCCTCCACTAATTCTCCTCCTCTTCTTATTTTGATGTATTTCCTGCAGTCCAGTATGATAACTACAGTGCAGGAGCTTGAGAGCAGCCGTGTAGGTTAACTTTTTCAGGAATGGCCAAACAATAGGTGTTAATTAAGGAGGAAAATATCTTTATGCAAATTAACAGGAACTGGAGAAAGAGAGAACTCATCTCCTGGAAGAGGTAACTGCAAACAAAAGAAGGATGAAAGAGTTAGAAGATAATTTGCTTTACCGGCTAACGAGTACCCAGGGGTCCCTGGTGGAAGACGAGAGTCTCACTGCTGTGCTGAGTAACACAAAAAAGACCGCAGAAGAGGTGACACAGAAGCTGGAAATTTCGGCCGAGACAGAAATTCAAATTAACTCAGCCCGGGAGGAATACAGACCTGGTGAGTTTGGTAATGAAAGACAAATGTCACAGGAAAATGAAGTGAGAAAAAACCCCGAAATCTGGAGAAACTGAAGGAGCGAAGGACATTAATGCAAATGGCTGTGCCAGGTGGGGTGGTCCTTCTGTTTTGTGGCACTGCTTTGGGACGCAGTCGGTAAACCTGAGATGAAGAGAAGATTGTATAATGGTGTTAATTGTCTAGGTGCTTATGATTCCTGTGAGTTGGCAAATTCTTTAAACTTAGAAAGTAGGGGCGCCTGGGTGGCTCAGTCGTTAAGCGTCTGCCTTCGGCTCAGGTCATGGTCCCAGGGTCCTGGGATCGAGCCCCACATCGGGCTCCTTGCTCCACGGAGAGCTTGCTTCTCCCTCTCCCATTCCCCCCTGCTTGTGTTCCCTCTCTCGCTGTGTCTCTCTCTGTCAAATAAATAAAATATTAAAAAAAAAAAAAAACTTAGAAAGTAAAGAGGGAGGGTTTTTTTTTTTTTTTTTAAAGATTTTATTTATTTATTTATTTGACAGAGAGAGACACAGCGAGAGAGGGAACACAAGCAGGGGGAGTGGGAGAGGGAGAAGCAGACTCCCCGTAGAGCAGGGAGCCCAATGTGGGACTCAATCCCAGGACCCTGGGATCATGACCTGAGCTGAAGGCAGTCGGTTAACCAACTGAGCCACCCAGGCGCCCAAAGAGGGAGGGTTTTTAAAGAATGCCTGACTACCGTTTGGAAATCTGAGGAATTAGTGCTGCATTTGTGGGCTGCTCACTGGTTCTTTATCATTTGGTAGCAATCAGCCAGTATTTTGTTTGCAGTCTTTGTCTTATGAAGGGAGTTCCTTGGTCTCACCAGAGTGCTTTAGGCTTACCCACCAGTTTGCAAATCAGTGTTGTTCACGGGTTGCAAGAGGGACCTGCTGAAAGAATTCATTTTCCTTTAGAAATGTGTCATTCTTTCTGGAAAAATAATCAAAGCGGTATCATTTGCTGGTGGAGAGTCAGGAGCATCATCTTTGCCATGCCTTGTTTTGCCAACCCGAGGCCAAGCTCAGTCGGGGCTTCATGGAACTTGAGCATGAGGGCCGTAAGATGCCTACACAATTTGCTAGGCGTTACAGTTTTTGCTATCCCATCGATTGCCTTTTCTGCCTATGGAAAAAATAGAGTAAAATGTATTTATAAGGGATCTGGAAGTTCTAACATGGAAAATACCACTTGATAAATGCAAGCAGCAGACTGCTTACACAAAGCTTATAAATAAGAATTGAGTATAAATTATGAGCCTTGCTCCAGGCTCCCAGTGCTGGTAGATAGTCATTGATAAAACAAATATAAGACCTGTTTTCATTTAGAGTTTAGGCTGGTCTGTGCATGGTCATTTATTTTCCACCCCCATAGCACATGCAGCCTTGTTCTTTGTCTTTCAGTGGCGACTCGAGGCAGTATCCTCTACTTCCTCATCACTGAGATGCGCTTGGTTAATGACATGTATCAGACTTCGCTCCGCCAGTTTCTTGGCTTGTTTGACCTTTCCTTAGCCAGGTATGTCCGTACTCAGGAAGCCAAGCTGAATTTCCTATCTGTGGGCTAGAATGATGACATTATATTTATAACTTCTTTTCCTTTTGCTGCTGACTCTTTTTTAAAAAATCTCAGCTTAGTGTAATTACCGGCGTATTAACACATCATTCTCATTTGTCCTTTTACGCTCAGAGACAGCTCTACCAACTCTTCATCCATGGATTTATTCCTTGGATTTCATGTATTTCTGTTAAACAAGAAAATTCTCAAGATGTTGTTGTGAGTGGTAATACCCTGCTGGTAAAATTGATTTAGACAACACTGAGGATTCTGTTATGTTATTTTGTGTTGAGAGAATGCTGGTTATTTTAGATTTAGGATGCTTATTCTTATGCGTAAAAAAGAACTGGCCCTCCAAAGTTACCTATTCTCCAGTAAAGACGTTTTTATGGGCAATGGAAAAGGGGAGTGGGATAAGCCCGATTTAAATGTTCTCTCCTCCAGGTCTGTCAAGAGCCCAATTACGAGCAAGAGGATTGCTAATATCATTGAGCATATGACTTATGAGGTTTATAAGTATGCAGCCCGGGGCTTGTATGAGGAACACAAGTTCCTGTTCACCTTGCTGCTTACCCTGAAGATCGACATCCAGAGGAACCGAGTCAAGCATGAAGAGTTTCTTACCCTTATTAAAGGTCAGTATAACAGTAGAAAGCACTGTACACAGGTCCAGATGTAGGAATTACTTGAAGGTGCTGTGCAGTACTTTTTTTTCTGGCTCTAACAGTTTCCTTGCATTACATTGCAGATTGCATATATGTGAAATGTTTTATTTGTTCATTTATTGCATGAATATTTATTGAGAGCCTACTGTGTGCTGAGGCACAGACTAGACACTTGGGGCTCAAAATAAAACAGTAAATTATGTAGTATGTGAGAAGCTAGTAGGCACTACGGGAAAAGACAGAGCAGGATAAGGTAGATGGGGAGTTAACAGGGTGTGCAGAGTCGGCGGGGGCAGTTGAAATTTTAAATGGAATATTTAGTGGGAAACCTAATAGGGTAGGCCTCCCTGAGAGATGGACGGGTGAATAAAGGCCTGGAGGGGCAGGGGGCACTGGCCCTGGGGACAGGCAGAGGGGGAGTGTCAAAGGAAGAGGAGATGGCATCAAGGTGCCGGTGGGGGCAAGCCTGGTATGACAGAGGCTGGAGCCACGGGCAGGGCGACTGTGGAGCCCACCCCATGGATATTTATTCTGTATCTGTTGAAGCATTGCTCACAGGCAGGTCCCTCGTGCCACCGCACAATACAGCCCAGGGGAGGCTAGGAAATACATTTGCTGTCACATTCTTGAATGTCTGGACAACAAAATATTTAAAGTAATTGTAGAAATGATGCTGGGGTCTAAATGGCTTTATCTACCATATCTTTCTAAGCGAAGGTTTAACTTTATAGATGAGACATAATTTTATCTACAGTGGGTGGGGAGAGATTTTCATGTTCACCTGGAGAGTAGATTTGCTGAGGAACTTGAAGAGGACCCTGAAGGGGCAGGAGGGAAGGGGTGTGGCTGTGCACGTGCTTGCCCTGGGGGGCGTAAGCCCGTAGTCCTATGTGAACAAATGCGTATTGGTGTTCATATAAATATGCATTTGCACACATCTCTTACAGAAACAACAAAGACTCATTTGGTTAGACTTGAACTTAGAAATGTATGATTTACAGACACTTTTCTCTTTCTCTCTCTCTTTATTCTTTGTCTCTAACCCTTGAACTCTTGCTCCTTGGGTCTCTTTATTTTCCAAGTTTTCTAAATCAGAGCTCGTGGATGATGAATGAATTAGGGAGACACCCCTTAGGCAGATGTAGGGGTGACTTCTTCACTGAGCCCTTCAAATAGTACTGATTCGTGGTCTCATTGACTGGTCCTCCAGCTGATGGAGATTTCCTGTGGCAAGTTGTTCCCAACATCTCAATTCAGGCATGAAATGCATTTCCTCATGAAATGCGTCCAGGTCTGGTTTAAATACTGGGAAATATGTTGCCATTTGGCGTGGTGATAGAAGACGTGGGATTTAGAGTTAGGACGACTGTAAGTGAAAATAGTGGTTTTGCCAATTTCTTGTCGAGTGTCTCGAGCAAGTTCTTCAAACTTTTCAGGCTCCAGCCTCCTGTGCTATAAAACAAGGGTGGTCAAATCTACATCATCGGATTATCGAGAAGTCACACAATTTGTGTAAACGCTGGTACATAGGATATGTTCAGTAAAGGATAGGCATTGTTATATTATCTTTAGTATTTTAGTTTGTTTTGATTAATCTGAGGCTCGCATAGGCTGGACTGTTTTTTGTGGGCTTTTGGCATTCAATAGTTTTTTAATGCTGCGCTATGAAACAGAGTGTCGGAGGGAGCTTTGCAAGGGAGTGATGTTGTAAGGTTGCTCATTGCTGGTGATTTTGCTGAGAGCTACCCAGTGGGTGAATTCCCTCTGCAAGGACTTTAAAATCACTTGTTTGCAAATGTTATTTAGAGAGCAACAGTGTTTGGATACTGGTCTTTTAATTTGCTCATCTCTAAGATGGAACAGGATCAGCCCAGATGACTTTCTGAATCTTCTTTAGCTATACCACTTAATAATGGTGTGGTATCACTTGTAGAAATTTTTCATTGTAAGAACATATCATTTTTACAAAGTATTACAGTACAAATTCAAACTTACCTTTTCCCAATGTAAGGGTTTACAGAATGAAGGCAATGGCATAACTCTCAATCACCTTGAGAATTTATTTTGAATTATGCCTATTCCAGCTGTTCATTCATCAGAGGTACATATTATCCAGGAATATGTCTGCCCTCAACCCATTACCATCATCCTCTGTGGCCCATTGTACACTTTTGAGGTAGGCAAGAGATTCGTGCCACAGTTACCCTCTACTAAATGATGAATAATGCTTTGGTTGCAAGGAACACCCTTTCCTTCCTCTAAATAGTTTCTCCCTAACTCTCTGGTGAATATCTTATTCTTTTGAGTTTGTTGGAAAATGGACAGTTTCCATGGAGATTGGTAGGACATTTTTCAACACAATGCCATTGTCCTCAGGTCTTTAACTGCTCTCTGCCATTAAAGCAGTCTGTTTTGATTTGGTGACTTAATGATCTTCTCAAAACTGCTTCAAGGCCATGTTTACTTTGCTGGAAATACACTAAGATGGATTTGGCCAAAAGATAGCAATTTAGTGGGGTCCATGGCACCTGGGTAAAGTAGAGATTGGTTCAATAAATATCTTGAGTATTATTATTTGTTCATGACCTGCTCTGTTCAAAAAAGGATTTTAAAGGTGGCCAAATGAATTGGTTATATCCTTTTAAGAATTATGCTTAGAGTGTATTTTCCTTGAAACATTTTAATAGATGGCATTTATTAAACAGTATATTTCATCCTATAAAGAATTTCTACTCTTCCTTTGACTTAAAATTTGATTGTTTACACATTTAGTTCTTCTGAGGTGGGCGACAACAACATTTTAAGGTATTGTTTATTTTTTGGTGCTGTGTGTTATGTGAATTACGTGAGCTTAGGCAGATCAGCAGCAGCAAGGGAAGAGTCACTACCCAATGGGGAAATGTTTGCTGTGGTTAGATTGGCCAAAAATAAATGAGATAGCACAGGATCCTTGGCTGTGCTCAAAATGGAAATAAATAATATACTGATTTATAGAGGAGAACCCTTTATTTTTTTTAAAATTTTATTACGTTATGTTAGTCACCATACAATACATCATTGGTTTTTGATGTGGTGATCCACGATCCATCGTTCTCGTATAACACCCAGTGCTCCATGCAGTACGTGCCCTCCTTAATACCCATCACCGGGCTAACCAATCCCCCCTCCCCCCTCCCCTCTAAAACCCTGTTTGTTTCTCAGGTCCATAGTCTCTCATGGTTCATCTCTCCCTCCAATTCCCCCCGCCCATTTTTCCCTTCCTTCTCTTAATATCTTCCATGTTATTCCTTATGTTCCACAAATAAGTGAAACCATATGATAATTGGCTTTCTCTGCTTGACTTATTTCACTTAGCATAATCTCCTCCAGTCCCATCCATGTTGATGTAAAAGTTGGGTACTCATCCTTTCTGATGGCTGAGTAATATTCCATTGTATATATGGACCACATCTTCTTTATCCATTCATCTGTTGAAGGGCATCTCGGCTCTTTCCACAGTTTGGCTATTGCAGACATTGCTGCTATGAACATTGGGGTGCATATGGCCCTTCTTTTCACTACATCTGTGTCTTTGGGGTAAATACCCAGGAGTGCAATTGCTGGGTCATAGGGTAGCTCTATTTTTAACTTTTTGAGGCACCTCCACACTGTTTTCCAAAGTGGCTGTACCAACTTGCATTCCCACCAACAGTGTAAGAGGGTTCCCCTTTCTCCACAACCTCTCCAACATTTGTTGTTTCTTTCCCTGTCCATTTTTGCCATTCTAACTGGTGTAAGGTGGTATCTCAGTGTGGTTTTGATTTGGATTTCTCGGATGGCTAATGATGATGAACATTTTTTCATGTGTCTGTTAGCTATTTGTATGTCTTCTTCAGAGAAGTGTCTTTTCATATCTTCTGCCCACTTTTTGACTTGATTATTTGTTTTTTGGATGTTGAGTTTGAGAAGTTCTTTATAGATTTTGGATACCAGCCCTTTATCTGTAGTGTCATTTGCAAATATCTTCTCCCATTCTGTGGGTTGCCTCTTTGTTTTGTTGACTGTTTCCTTTGCTGTGCAGAAGGTTTTTATCTTGATGAAGTCCCAAAAGTTCATTTTTGCTTTTGTTTCACTAGCTTTTGGAGATGTATCTTGAAAGAAGTTGCTGTGGCCGATGTCAAAGAGGTTACTGCCTATGTTCTCCTCTAGGATTTTGATGGATTCCTGTCTCACATTGAGGTCTTTCATCCACTTTGAGTTTATCTTTGTGAATGGTGTTAGAGAATGGTCGAGTTTCATTCTTCTGCATGTGGCTGTCCAATTTTCCCAGCACCATTTATTGAAGAGACTGTCTTTTTTTCATTGCATGTTTTTTCCTGCTTTGTCAAAGATTATTTGACCATAGAGTTGGGGGTCCATACGTGGGTTCTCTATTCTGTTCCTTTGTTCTGTATGTCTGTTTTTGTGCCAGTCCCATGCTGTCTTAGTGATCACAGCTTTGTAATATAACTTGAAATCGGGCAACGTGATGCCCCCAGCTTTGTTTTTCTTTTTCAACATCTCCTTGGTGATTCGGGGTCTTTTCTGATTCCATACAAATTTTAGGATTTAGGATTGTTTGTTCCAGCACTTTGAAAAATGTGATTGGAATTTTGATCGGGATGGCATTGAAGGTATAAATTGCTCTGGGTAGCATAGACATTTTAACAATGTTTATTCTTCCGATCCATGAGCATGGAATATTTTTCCATCTTTTTGTGTCTTCTTCAATTTCTTTCATGAGTGTTCCTAGAGTATGGATCCTTTACCTCTTTGGTTAGTTTTATTCCGAGGTATCTTATGGTTTTTGGTGCTATTGTAAATGGAATCGTTTCTCTAATTTCTCTTTCTACAGTTGCGTTGTTAGTGTATAAGAAAGCAATGGATTTCTGTGCATTGATTTTGTATCCTGCCACATTACTGAATTGCTGGATGAGTTCTAGTAATTTGGG